GTGGGATTAGACAGTTTCTGAAGTCCCTTCCACTTGGATATTCTAAGGCCCTGCAATTTCTGCCCACACTCCCAAGCTGCTCTGCACGTAGGAGTGGGCTGTGTCTGCAGGCCCGCAGCGGGGAGCTGCAGCTACAGGCCTGGACATTGGGATGGATGAGCTGTGAGTATGGCAGGGAGGCTGTTGGGGTGGATGATGCCGAGGGCTCAAGAGGACCTTGGATGTCACCTCTCTTGGTTGTGCTGGCGTGCTTCGAGCTGGGGGTAGCTGGAAGGGGAAGGATGGCTTCTTCTTTTTTGTACATGTGGAACTGAAGCTCAGAGAGGTTTCTCAACACAGCAGGACACTATGGGACCGACCAGGAACAGATTCACCAGGGATGATATTAAAAATATTAAACAGGGGCCGGGCGCGGTGGCTCAAGCCTATAATCCCAGCACTGTGGGAGGCCGAGACGGGCGGATCACGAGGTCAGGAGATCGAGACCATCCTGGCTAACACGGTGAAACCCCGTCTCTACTAAAAATACAAAAAAAAACTAGCCGGGCGAGGTGGCGGGCGCCTGTAGTCCCAGCTACTCCGGAGGCTGAGGCAGGAGAATGGCGTGAACCCGGGAGGCGGAGCTTGCAGTGAGCTGAGATCTGGCCACTGCACTCCAGCCTGGGCGACAGAGCGAGACTCCGTCTCAAAAAAAAAAAAAAAAATATTAAACAGGCTGGGCATGGTGGCTCACACCTGTAATCCCAGCACTTTGGGAGGCTGAGGCAGGAGGATCACAAGGTCAGGAGATCAAGACCATCCTGGCTAACATAGTGAAACCCTGTCTCTACTAAAAATACAAAAAATTAGCCAGGCATGGTGGTGGGTGCCTGTAGTCCCAGCTACTCAGGAGGCTGAGGCAGGAGAATGGTGTGAACCCGGGAAGCAGAGCTTGCAGTGAGCTGAGATCGTGCCACTGCACTCCAGCCTGGGCGACAGAGTGAGACTCCATCTCAAACAAATAAACAAACAAAAAATTAAACAGTGGTGTGGCACAGGCACAAGCTGATCACCACAGATGCAGTTTTGGACATGGAGGCTGTCTGCACACGGGGGATGTTGGCTGTGTCAGGCCTGGTCCCAAGCCTCGTCCTGGCTGCTCTGCCCTGTCCCTTTTCCTCCATACCACACTGATTTGCAGGGCTGGAGCAGATTTTTCTGTGTCTATGAGAGTGAGGGGATTGTGCTCTAGCACGCCACACCCATCTTTAGCTGCTCTTTGCCGAAAGCTTCTGGTGGCGGTGGTATAAGTGGTAGGGGTCCACTCACCCTCACATCACAATAACCCCATTCTCCCTGCTAGTGAGGGTTGAGAGCAAATATTCTGGAGTGATGGTCTGAGTTCAAATCCCAGCATTCATCAGCCTGTGGCCCTGTGCTAATCGTCTCACCCCGCTAAACCCTGCTTTTCTGATGGGTAAAATTGGATTAAACTACCTACCTCAGGGAATACTGTGAAGACCAGGTACAATTATGTGGGTGACCAAGTTTTATATGCTGAAAAAGTCTGTGTGTGAAATGAAGGAGATTAACCCATTTATGCCAGAGGTTGCAATTTTTTTGAATTGCAGACATGAAAAATCAGACCTTGGTGATAACCTTGAGCAGTGGAATATAAATAACTCCCACATGCTTAGCGTTCCAATAATGGAACACTAGGCATAAAATTAAGCTGGGCTGTGTCCTGAGAGGCTCACACAGGGAGTAGGAACCTAACACTAAGGGCAGATGGAACTGCGTTGGGCATCCCCGTGCCAGAGCAGCTAGTGATCTCCCTGATTCTCCTTTTTTTTTTTCCCAGACAAGTTCTCACTCTGTCATTCAGGCTGGATGAAATGGGGAGGGGCAAGGCGGGAACATCAGCTAGGGCCCTGGGGGCCAGCAGTGGTGTGATCTCGGCTCACTGCAGCCTCGACCTTCGAGGCTCCAAGTGATCCTCTCACCTCAGCCTCTCTAGTAGCTGGGAATATGGGCACATGCTACTACACCCAGCTATTTCCTTTTTTGTTTTTTGTAGTGACAGGGTTTTACTATGTTGCCCAGGCTGGTTTTGAGATCCTGGGCTCCAGTGATCCTCTCACCTTAGCTTCCCAAAGTGCTGGGATTACAGGTGTGAGCCACCATGCCTGGCCCCAAATTTGCCTTTTCTTCTACCGTAGTCATTGATTTAGTCGAAGACATGACTCCCCAGAATAAAATCTCTATTTCCCAGGCTGCTTTACACCCAGGGTGGCCACAGGGACAAGTTCTGGCCAATAGGATGTGAGCAGAAGGGGTGGGGACAACTTCTGGGTATGTCCTTAAAGAGCAGGGGCCTTCCTCCTCCATTCCCCCGACCGCAGCTCTGTCCCTGCACCTTCCTGCCCCACCTTCCTCCTTCTGGCCATCCAGAGGGCAGATGTGGTGATGGGCTGTCTGAGCCATGAGATGCGGCCAGCCTCCCAGGGTGGAATGGAACAGCTGGGGCTGGCTCTCTGCCTTGTGGAGCTGCTGAGCAGCCCTGGACTACTTACTTCAGAGAATTCCATGAGGGAGAAATGCGTCCTAGCTCATGTCCTCTTGGGTGTTTGGGGACTGCTGCAGCAGTCAAGTTTATAGCCTGACCATGTGATAGTGAACCCCACTGTGACCTATGCTACTTCTCAACCAGCGAGTTACTAATGTGCTGCTTTTGTTCAAGGATGGGAGTTGAAGCTGGGAAGTGTGGAGGGGAGGTGGGTGCAAGAATACCCCTGAGAAGGGCCAGGAAGGCATCACCCGTCGGATTAGTCCCACAAACTTTGTGGGGGAGGCAGGACTTTAGGAATGTTCACGGTGTAGATATTCCTTCTCCCGCTACCGGTTCCCCCGCGTATCTTTTTTGTCCTTGCTCCCCTCCTCTCTCCCTGATCATCGTCCCGGCTCAGCACACGCTCCACATCCTTGAGAATATGGTGAGGAAGAACAAGACCCATTTTTGCCTTGCAGGCCGGTTACAATACAGACTCAGGCCTCTCAGATCCCAAACCTGGGGCCATCCTACACCCCTCTCTCTCTCCCACCCCAGGAAGACTTCGTCAGCACATCCTGCCAGAGCTATTTCAAAATATGACCGGATCACCCCTTTCCACACCTCGTCTCCTGCTCTAAGCCCCCATCATCTCCTGCCTGAACTTTTCTTTAGCCCCCTAATGACTCTCCATGCTTCCACCCTCATCCCCACTCCGCCAATGCAGTCTGTTCTCAACAGAGCACCCAGAACGATTTCCTTAAAACGTAAATCAGACCGTGTCACTTTTCTGCACGACTTTCCAGCACGACTCTCAGAAGACACTCCAAATTCCTTTCATGGCCCCCACGACCCTAGCTGATGCTTCCACCTTGCTCCTCCCCATTTCATTTGGGCGTGCCTAGAGCACAGCAGGCATGCTCCTGCCTCAGGGCACTGGCGTGCAGCCCTCTTTGCCTAGACTCTCCATGGCTTGTCCGTCATATCAGGTCTCTTCTCAAGTGGCACCTGTTGCAGAGGCTCTCCGGGGCTACTCTGCATAAATACCACCCACTCTTGTCACTTGCTGTCCCCCTTACATTACTTTATTCTCTTCCTAGCCCTTATCACCATCTGATTTATATTTGCTTTCTTGTTTTTTGGCTTTCTCCCTCTACTGAGTGTAAGCTCTTTGTGTGTCTCATCTGGCAATCTGTACCTTCATTTTGGACAGCAATGCCGGCAAGCATGCAGCCGGGGCTCAGTAGACGCTTGCAGGATGCTGAGTGGCGTGTGCTGGATGTGCTGTTGTGCAGAGCCCAGAAGCCGAGATGCCCCTGCCTGGTGTTCAGAGGAGGGATGGCTGGACCTGATACTCTGAGGGTGACCGGGTGGGAGTCCTCGGCCTCGGTCTGCTCAGATGGCCACCGGGCCAGTCAGGCCGTTGCTCTGACCTCAGTTCTGGAGAATTCGGATTGGTGGCAAGGGAACGGGCAGGAGCTGAGGAATGGATGGTTGCATTAATCATGGAACTTTGCCCAGAGGGGTCAGAGGAGTAAGGCAGGGGTTAGAGAGCATGAGACAGGAGATTCTGGTGGCAGGGGAGGGGCTGGGGGTGAGGAAAGGGATGGGGGTGTGGGTTCTGGCTCAGCCTTTTCCAGACTTTGTGGCTACTGCTGCAGTCCCAGAGTCTACTGGGGCCCCGCTGTCTGCTTCCTGGCCTGGCTGTTTATTTGGCCAGTAGTTTGGGCAGCCGTGGGCTTCTCTTGCTGACCTCCAGAGGAGGAGTTAAGTACCTACTGGCTCTCAGGTGCAGGAACTAAAAGCGTACAGGAAATGTTGAGGTGCCAGTCAGCAAGAGTGCCAGTCCTCGGCTTCCCCTGCCAGGGGCCCCTAGGAACAGATACCCACCCCCACTCTTTCTCATCTCCAGCTCCTGTGGGAGTGAAGTGGGCTTCCTGTGCTTTCCAGCGGAAACTTTACTTGGTTCTCTTCACAGCCAGCGTTCATTCATTCTCTTCGTTGGCAAATACTTGTTAAGTACTCCATGCCACCAACGAGCTAGGGATACGGACAACCTTGGTGTAGAAAAATTCACCTTTAATGTTCGTAGCCTCCCAGGTCTGCACTCATTCCTCCTCTCACTCAGAGAACCTTTCCCCACATCGGGGAGAGGCTGGTTAATGGATACAAAGTGACAGCTAGATAAGCTGATAAGCTGAGCGGGATAAGCTTTAGCTTCCTGTGCCGCTGTAGGTGAAAGTAGTTAACACTAATTTCAAGTATATTTTCAAAAAGCGGCAAGATAGGATTTTAAGTGTTCCCAGCACAAAGGAGTGATGGGTGTTCAAGATGTTAGATATGCTCATTACCCTGATTTGATCATTATACATCATATGCATGTATCAAAATATCACTTTGAAACCTGTCAAAATGAACAATTATTGTCAACAAAAAATAAAAGGGAAAAAACACCAAATATCTTTCCCCACAGCAATTTTGTGTCCCAGGCTGGTGCTGCGTGCCTGGGAGCAGTGATGTGCTGATAAATGTTTCACAAGTGGCTCTTTGGAAGAAAAGTCATGATCTGCAGTGTTTGCCAGTTTCCATGGTGTAACTACTCACAGAATGTCAGATTTCATGCTACCCACGTGATGTTACTCAACGGAAAACTGGGAAGACTTCACAGTAACACTGCATTGTGTGTCATTTCCACCACACCCATACAGACATCAGTATGTATAACCTCAAGGGTATAGATACTAGTAAAATGTAAAATAGGAAGTATGAGTTTTGAGTCATTAGCTCTGTCTTAAATGTAACTTATTTTATTATGATTATATATACTTTAGTATGTAATAATGAATGCATTTAACAACAGACCCACAAAATTCCTGAAAATGTAAAAATTAGCTCTGCAAACCGGGATGAGATGGCTCTAGCACGTCACTGCCTGTGAGCTTGCTGGAAATGCAGATTCTTAGGCCCCACCAGCTCTACTGAATCAGAATCTGAATTTTAACATTTGTTAACAATACCCTCAGGTCATCCATATACATTATACATTTAAAAAGCATGCCCTGGGGAAATAACTGTTTATTATTTCATTGATATCTTTTTTTTTTTTTTGAGAAGAAGTCTTGCTCTGTCGCCCAGGCTGGAGTGCCGTGGCAGGATCTCAGCTCACTGCAAGCTCCGCCTCCCGGGTTTACGTCATTCTCCTGCCTCAGCCTCACGAGTAGCTGGGACTACAGGCTAGTTTTTTGTATTTTTTAGTAGAGACAGGGTTTCACTGTGTTAGCCAGGATGGTCTCGGTCTCCTGACCTCATGATCCGCCCGTCTTGGCTTCCCAAAGTGCTGGGATTACAGGCTTGAGCCACTGCGCCCGGCCTGATATCTATTTTAGAACTTTTCCGCAACATAGATGTGTGTATTTTAACAAATTTTGTTTTTAACAAAAATAAGGTCACGCTGTAAATGTTTTGCAAGGTTTTGTTTGGTTTTTAACTTAGTAACATGTCTGATATCCTTCCATGTCAGTCTACAGAGATCTCATTATTTTTAATGTCTCTGTAGTATTTTAGGACATGAGTAAATCATGATTAAAAAAAAAACATCTCTTGCTGGGCGCAGTGGCTCATGCTTTTAATCCAGCATTTTGGGAGGTTAAGGTGGGCAGATCACTGGAGGCAAGGAGTTCTAGACCAGCCTGCGTGACATATCAAAATCCCATCTCTACAAAAAGTGCCAAAAAATAGCTGAGTGTGGTGGCTCGTACCTGTAGTTTCAGCTGCTTGGGAGGCACAGGTGGGAGGATCGCTTGAGTCTGAGGAGGTCTAGTCTGCTGTGAGCCGTGATACTGCCACTGTACTCCAGCCTGGGTGACAAAGTGAGACCCTGTCCCCTCTACCCTCAAAAAACCCCTCTCTGAGTGAACACATATTGTTTTCCCCTTTTGCTTCAAGAAACTTTATACTTAAAAAGAAAGTTTCCTTAACTTTCTTTCGATTTCCTTAACAAAATATACCTAAAAAAACCTCTGAAAGCTAATTTATACCAATGGGTTAGTGGCTGGCAATAATAGTTTTACAGAGTTTTCCTTCTTCCCCAGATTTAAACAGTTTATATTTTATCAATATTTATTGAGATATTTTATGTATTATGTTCTGAATAAGCTGCTAGGGAATATAAAGAAGTTAGACAGGCTGGGCATTGTGGCTCACGCTTGTAATCCCAGCACTTTGGGAAGCTGAGGCAAGTGGATCACCTGAGGTCAGGAGTTCAAGACCAGCCTGGCCAACATGGCAAAACCCCAGTCTCTACTAAAAATACAAAAAATTGGCCAGGTGTGGTGGTGGGCACCTGTAATCCCAGCTACTCGGGATGCTGAGGCAGGAGGATCGCTTGAACCTGGGAGGCAGAGGTTGCAGTGAGCAGAGATTGAGCCACTGCACTCCAGCTGGGTGACAAGAGCGAAACTCCATCTTGGAAAAAAAAAAAAGTTAGACGTGGGCCTGACTTTCACATGCTGACAGCCCTCCAAAGGGAATGAAATAATCATAAAATGAGGCAGGACATATAGATACAGAACTGTTACCAGCAGCTTTAGTGCCATGAGAACATCATAGAAGGGAGGGGAGAAAAACCTTAACTAAGATACTGGGTGCTACCTGTGACATTAGATACATTGATGGATAAGTGGGGAGGTGTCTGTCCTGTCCTCAAACTGCAACAGGCAGCCTTAGGCTAAGGGCTGGTGGAGGTAGGATAGAATAAAAAGAAAGCCCCAAGGGCCAGGCAATATTTCTACAGGGTGAAGCGGGTACCCTTTTCTTCACAACCAGCGTAAAGGGAGAAGTTTTCCCCCACCCTTTTTCTTTTTTTTTTTTTTTTTGAGATGGAGTCTCACTCTGTCGCCAGGCTGGAGTACAGTGGCGCAATCTAGGTTCACTGCAACCTACACCTCCCGGGTTCAAGCGATTCTCCTACCTCAGCCTCCTGAGTAGCTGGGATTACAGGCGCGCGCCCACCACGCCCAGCTAATTTTTGTATTTTTAGGAGAGGTGGGGTTTCACCAGGTTAGCCAGGATGGTCTCGATCTCCTGACCTCATGATCCACCCGCCTCAGCCTCCCAAAGTGTTGGAATTCCAGGCGTGAGCCACCGCACCCGGCCCCCACCCTTTTTTCCTCCAGTCCTAACCTCTGGTTCCTTTATCTCCAGGAACCCTGATCCCCAAAGATGATAGCAGCTCTGCTTGGTTCCTGTCTGAGCCTGGGTCTGGATCTGGGAGGTGCTGGCGGGTCCCTGTGCTTCCGCTATGGTGGAAATCTGATTGTCATCAGCATTGGGCCGCATGCCAGAGGCTGCGGCAGTTCTGCGCCTGGCCTGGCCGGCCTCGGGGCTACCCGCCACCCCTCACGTCTTCCCTTCTGGCTCCTTGCACGTCGCTAGTCAGTCCGCGAACCCTGACTCTCCAGCAGTGAGCTGGGTAGACCTGGGCAAGCCTCTGCCCTTCTCTACTTCCCAGGGTACAGAGTGAGATTCCACCTGTGGCTTGATTCTCCTTCACATCTTGCCCACCCAGGCTTCTGGCCGAACCTAGCAGCTTAAGTCAAATTCAGCTGGAAGTTGGCTGCTGAAGGAGCTGTCTTTCACCCTCCATAACTGAGGGCTTACTGTTCTTAACTGTTGCCAAGTGGGGGCTGTTTTCTTTGAGGGAGTTTTTTTCTTCTTTAACAATTTTATATATAAAATAACAAATGCAAACTATGTATTATGAGACATGCTGACAAAATGAACATCTGTGAACACACTATCCCATCTAAGAATTAGAACATTATTAACAGGGTTGTAGATGCCTATCTGTTCTTTCCTGTTCTGTATGCCTGTCTCCCCTGAAGAGATAGCTGTTATCCTGAGTTTTTGTGTTTGTTATTTCCTTGCTTTAAAAAAGTAGCTTCATCGGCTGGGCGTGATCCCAGCACTTTGGGAGGTCGAGGCAGGTGGATCGCCCGAGGTCAGGAGTTCGAGACCAACCTGACCAACATGGCGAAACCCCATCTCTACTAAAAATACAAAATTAGCTGGGTGTGGTGGCGCATGCCTGTAATCCCAGTTACTCAGGAGGCTGAGACGGGAGAATCGCCTGAACCCGGGAGGCGGAGGTTGCAGTGAGCCGAGATCACACCATTGTACTCTAGCCTGGGTGACAAGAGTGAAACTCTGTCTCAAAAAAAAAAAAAAAAAAAAAGCGTCATCACATATGTTTATATCTACAAACTTGTTTACTTTTGCTTGTTTTTGAGCTTTGTAAAAATGGTGTCATATTGCATATAGTTTTTTTTTGGTTGTGATAAACGGTAATGCTGTGAGTATTCTTGCATAAATCTCTGTATGCAAGAGTTCCCATGCACCAGCGTTTCTTCTAGAGAAGTGCAGTCGATGAGTTCTAGGGCATGTAAATGCTCAAGTTCACAGATTGTTTTACCAATTTCCAATCCCACCAGCAGTATATGTAAGAGTTCCCCCACAATGCATAACTGATTTTTCCAGCATCGTTTATTGAACAGCCCAGCTTTTCCCAATTGATCTACAGTGTCACCTCTGTTATCTAAAAAATTTCTGTATATCTGTGGGTCTGCTTTTTGGCTTTTAACCTAATTCATTGATCAAGTTGTCTATACTTGCACTAATGTTCAGTCTAAAATGCTATGGATTTATAAGAAGTCCTGATGTAGTTAGGTAAGTCCTGCCATCTCATTGTTTGCCTTAAAGAGTAAATTGACTATTTCTGGCCCATTGCATTTTGGCCAGTTGCATATATTAGAATCAACTTGTTGTAATTTTGATTGGCATTGTATTGAGTCTATATCTCAATTTGGGCAGTACTGACGTTGTGATATTGAGTCTAAATTTCCGTGATATAACTCTCAAATTATTTAGGTTTTAATTAATGCCTTCTAATAAATCTATTTTTTCTTGTGTATCCTGAGCATTTTTTTTAGATCTGTTATTATGTAACTTACAGTTTTGAGATATGTTACATGAGTTGTTTTTACAATGTTTTACAATTATATTTCTGTTGTTGGCATATACAAATATAGTGGATTTTCAAATATTCATCTTATGTGATGTTGCCAAAATGTCTATTGATTTCCAATATTTTATGTGTAGATTCTTTTGGGACAACGATATTGTATGTCATTAATGAGAGTTGTTTAGTTCTGTCTGATCTTTTTTTTTGTTTTTTGTTTTTTTTTTTGATGGAGTCTCCCTCTGTCGCCTAGGCTGGAGTGCAGTGGCTCCATCTCAGCTCACTGCAAGCTCTGCCTCCTGGGTTCACAGCATTCTCCTGCCTCAGCCTCCCGAGTAGCTGGGACTACAGTCGCCTGCCACCACGCCTGGCTAATTTTTTTTGTATTTTTAGTAGAGACAGGGTTTCACCGTGTTATCCAGGATGGTCTTGATTTCCTGCCCTCATGATCCACGCACCTCGACCTCCCAAAGTGCTGGGATTACAGGCGTGAGCCACCGTGCCTGGCCCTAGTTCTGATCTTTATGATTTTCATTTATTTTTCTTCTCTTGTTTCATTGCCCAGAATGTCTAATGTAACTTGAATGGAAGTGGCAAGAGTCGGCATCTTTTTCTTGTTTTTTATTTTTAAGGGAACTGATCTTCTATTTCTTACATTTCCTTGTTAGAATGATGAGTCACACATGTTTTGTTACTTAGGTTAAATTATTATTTTTTTAATTCCTAGTTTACTGCGTTTTTATGATGAATAAGTAAATCTGGCAAATGCTTTTTCTGTAGCTATGGAGATGCCTATATTTTTACCTCTGAATTTGTGAATGTAGTATATGATAATGATACAATTTTAAATGTGAAAACCACCCTAAATTTCTGGAATAAATAAAACTTGCTCATAACACATTCTCTTTTTTAATAAAACGGTTGGATTCACTTGCTAGTATTTTGTTTAGGAGTTTTGCACCTATGTTCTTCAGTAAGTTTTGCCAGGGATTTTCTTTTTCTTATACTGCTCATGTCTGTTTTCGGAGTCAAAATTGTATTGGATACATCGTCTGAATTAGAGCTACTTTTCTTTGTGGCAGAGTCCATTGATGGTTTTCTAGTGGTTATTTGGCCTTCTAACTTTTAACAACAAAACCCCAATTTTTAGCTGGATACAAAACTGAAGATTATATTTCCCAGCCTCCCTCATAGGTAGATATGGCCGTGTGATTAAGTTTTGACCAGTATCCCTTCATCAGCACCATCATCAGTCAATTCTTTGTAGTTTTGAGTCCTGAGATTCATGATTCCAGCTTTGAGAAATAGGTCTTTGAGGACATTTGTTGCTAATAGTGATTAATTTCATTAAATCTAAAAACAGAGGCAGGGTGGGGTGACTCACGCCTGTAATCCCAGCACTTTGGAAGGCCGAGGAGGGCGGATCACGAGGTCGGGAGTTGGAGACCAGCCTGGCCAACATTGTGAAACCCCATTTTTATTAAAGAAAAAAGAAATTGACTGAACCTGGTGGCGGGTGCCTGTAATCCCAGCTACTCGGGAGGCTGAGGCAGGAGAATTGCTTGAACCCTGGGAGGTGAAAGTTGCAGTGAGCCGAGATTGCACCATTGCACTCCAGCCTGGGCCATGGTGCGAGACTCTGTCTCAAACAAACAAACAAACAAATAAACAAACAAAACTAAAAGCATGATCTAGTATCTAGATTTCTTGATTTTTTAATACATCAGGGTAAAATAGGAGAAATACCTTTATTGCTTCTTGACCTATATTTGAAGCTTCTGTAGATACCTTCACATGGTAGGAAGTCTAGCAGTTCTCAAGACCATACGCCAACCATTATGTGCATGAAAGAAGATCAACTGTGAAAGATTTTTGGCTTTTAAAAATGTATTTAGGCTGGGTGTGGTGGCTCATGCCTTTAATCCCAGGACTTTGGGAGGCTGAGACGGGTGGATCACGAGGTCAGGAGATTGAGACCATCCTGGATAATACGGTGAAACCCCGTCTCTACTAAAAAATACAAAATACAAAAAACTAGCTAGGCGAGGTGGTGGGCGCCTACTGTAGTCCCAGCTACTTGGGAGGCTGAGGCAGAAGACTGGCATAAACCTGGGAGGCGGAGCTTGCAATGAGCTGAGATCCGGCCACTGCACTCCAGCCTGGGCAACAGAGCAAGACTCTGTCTCAAAAAAAAAAAAAAAAAAAAAAAAAAAAATGTATTTAAAGGCTTCTTCAATTATCAGAAAGCTTGCACCTATGTGTATGAACCAATATGACTTTCATATTAAACTGATAATATTCTGCATTTTATATGCATTATAGTGGAATAGACTGAATTTTACATTTTTCATGATGATTTCTTTGATCCATGAATTGGAAATGTATTTAAAAGTTTCTAGCCATATGGGAATAAAATGTAATTATATTTTGTTATTTGCTTCTAATTAAATGTATTATGCAGGGAAACACATTGATACTGATTCTTTGAAATCTGTTAAGAATTGCTTTGTGGGTTAGTACTTAGTCAGTTTTTTTCTTTTCTTTTTTTTTTTTTTAGATGGAGTCTCGCTCTGTCGCCTAGGCTGGAGTCCAGTGGTGCAATCTCCACTCACTGCAAACTCCACCTTCCGGGTTCACGTCATTCTCCTGCCTCAGCCTCCTGAGTAGCTGGGACTACAGGCTCCCGCCACCACGTCCGGCTAATTTTTTTTGTATTTTTAGTAGAGATGGGGTTTCACTGTGTTAGCCAGGATGGTCTCGATCTCCTGACCTCGTGATCTGCCCGCCTCAGCCTCCCAAAGTGCTGGGATTAAAGGCGGGAACCACCGTGCCCGGCCTGGTCATTTTTTATATATGTTCCAAATGTGTCATCCCTAATTGTTGGGTAGAGAATTCTATGTATGCCCAATAAATCAAGCTGATTAATTGTATTGTTCAAATTTTCTGTCTTTTATAGTTTTTTGTCTCTTCAATCTAACAATAATGGAGAGAGGTATGTTGACATCTTCTACCAGGATGGCAAATTTGTCAACTTCTCCCTGAGTTATTTTAATTTTTATAATTTATATATTTTAAACCTATTTTATTAATAAGCTTATTTTTTAGTTTTATAATCATCGTATCTTCTTTTTTTTTTTTTCTTTTACGCGGAGTCTGGCTCTGTCGCTCAGGCTGGAGTGCAGTGGTGCCATCTCGGCTCACTGCAAACTCTGCCTCCCGGGTTCATGCCATTCTCCTGCCTCAGCCTCCTGAGTAGCTGGGACTACAGGCACCCGCCACCACACCCGGCTAACTTTTGGTATTTTTAGTAGAGACGGGGTTTCACTGTGTTAGTCAGGATGATCTCGATCTCCTGACCTCGTGATCCACCTGCCTTGGCCTCCCAAAGTGCTGGGATTACAGGTGTGAGCCACTGCACCTGGCCCCATATCTTCTTATTTTATTAGGTTTATAATAATGTTAGTAGATTGTACTTTTTGTCATTATTTCATGTCATCCTTTAGCCATAATAATGCTTTATTTCCCCAAAGTCTATTTTGTCTCATATTAGTAACAACTACTCCAGCTTTGCTTCAAACACTTTCATGTCCTTATATTTTAGGTATGTCTTTTATAAACGTCGTGGAATTATGTAGTATCCATCTTTGAAGATAGCCCTCCAGTGAATCTTATTTCACCAGTCCCACCCTTTTGTAGTCTGACATTGAGTAGGGCTGACTTGTATAACCAATAGGATATTGTGGAAATAACAGACTCCTGAGGCCAGATCATAAAAAACCTTGTATCTTTCATTCATCTCTCTCTTGGACTCTTGTTCTGGCAGAATCTGGTCACCATGTCGTGGGGATATTCAAGCAGCCCCACGGAGAGGTCAGTGCAGCAGGGAACCGAGACCTCCCACCAGCTACAGCACCAACTGGGCAGCACTGTGCATGGGCCGTCTTGGAAGTGGATCTTCCAGCCCCAGTCGTGCTGG